GGGACCGAATCAAGCTGAGGGAAGGATGGGGAGGAGCTGGGGTCGGGGGACGGATGGAAGGGAATGATGATGGGGACGGGGATGGTTTGAGGGCGATTCACGCCGGGAGAAAAGGAGATAGGATCGGGGGTGGGGTTGAGGGCGATTCAAATTGGGGGGGAGGAGGAAGAAAGGCTGCAGTTGGGAGAGGGGTTCGGGTGGGGGTGGGACGAAGTCGGGATGCTGGTGGACTCTTGAACCAGATGGAGAGGGGAGGGGGGGAGGAATCTGATCGGAATCAGGGGGGCTCTGGGGCCGGGAACGGGGAGGGGGCTGGGCTCGGAGTCTGGAATGGGGCGAGGATCGGGGTCGGGGTTAGGACTGAGACTGAATTCTAAGGTACAGAGTATGTTTGATACTAGTGAGGGAAGGAGCGAGGCAAACTTTACTCGGGGTCGGGGCGGAATCACCGATCGGGGTCAGGGGGTCGGGATAGGTACGGGGTCGGGTTGGGACCGGGGAGGGGTTGGACTCGAGATCAGGTCTAGGTGGGAGCGAAGCAAGATCGGGATGAGAACGAGTTCCGTATTGGGGAGGAGCTGGGGCCAGGGGGGGGGGGTCAAGTCGGGATCGGGGTAGAACCCGGATGGGGCCGCTTGGGGTCGGATCTAAGTAGGGTCGGGTTGGGGGCGAGGTTGGAGCAAGATAGGATCAGGGAGGGGTCGCTTGAGATCAGGCTCTAAGTGAGATCGGGGACTACGTTGGATCGCTTGAGATCGGGATCTAAGTGGGAACGGGTTGGGGGCGGGGTTGGAACGAGATAGGATCGTGATGGGATCAGGCTAGGGTCGGGGTAGGGTCGGGTTAGAATCGGGGTGAAATCGGGTTAGAATCGAGATCAGATCGAGGTGGGAGCGAAGCGAGAACGGAAAGATATCGAATTTAGTATTGGGGTGGGGCTGGGACCAGGGAGGAGGTCAAATCGGGATTGGGATAGAACCCCGGTGGGATCGCTTGAGATCGGGCGAATGAAGTTAGGGAAGAGCGAGAAAGAATCGGGGGGGAAGGGGGAAGTAGGCGGGGGTTGTCGGGAAGACGGGCAAAAGGGTGAAGATAGAGGGTTGAAGGGATAGAGGGATGGATGGATGGATAGTGGAGGAGAACCCGGATGGTGAATAGTATCGGGGAAGCGATGATTGTGGGGAGAAAACAAACTGGCTTGAAGATCGGAAGGTCCAGGGAGTGCGGGTGATGAGGAGCGCAAGAGATGAGGATCACGGAATGAACGAGAGACGAGAAAGGAGATTATATGGGGATTCGGACCAAAGAGGTTGGAGGGGTTGAGGCGAGGAAAAGGGAAGGATGACTGGCTGGATGAGGGGAAGAATGGGTGTGGAGACCAACTGGAGCCTGGAGGCCTGAGTGGATGGGCTGCGGATGGCTGGGTGAGCCACAAAGGGGGTGGGTTGAGGGAAGATGAGTGGATGGCAGAACGCGTTAATGAGAGTACCGGTGAGAGGATGGCTGGATGGGGTCGGGGTGGACGGAATCTTTGCGGGAGGGAATGGGGGTGTGAGGGCAGATTACAGCAGAGAGAGGAGGAGGATGGTGATCGTAGGACAAGTCAAGACACTGGGAATGGGTGAATGGATAGGTGGGGTGGGGTGTGCTGGCTGACGCCTCGCTGGACGGGTAAATAGGTGACTGGAGAGATCAGCGGGTGACTTGATGGATGGGTGTGCAACTGAAGAGAGAACGCTACTTCCGATAATGTAAGGTGGGGTGATAATGTGAGGCGGTGGAATAGAGAGATCGGCGCTCAAACGAAGGGTAGAAGGACCAGGGTTTGTCGTAAGGAGAGAAGGGGGGACGCCGGTCCCAAATACAAGTATACGGGGAAGAGGAGCTCAGTTACGAAATTGCAAAAAAGAAAAAAAGGGGCGGAGTGATGGTGTCGAAGGAGGGACGAGGAAAACGGGGTTAAAGCCGTGAAACGTGTTGAGAAATAGCAGCGGGGGAGGATTACCGAACTCGAGAGAAGGGGGATGTAATTATAAGATGACAGTGCGAGAAGGCTGGATCTCACTTGGCCGAAACTTTCTCCCTTAACTGCTTGGGGTACGAGCTGACTTGAAGAAGACTTCGATGAGAGCTTCAGTTGTCCCCTAGGAAGTGTGGCATGGCCTTGTCCACTCGGCCGAGTCACGACTCCGTGCGCTGTCACCTTGACCTAAGCGCGCGCGCTAGGGGCGCGGTGCTTGGCCAGCTATGGCGTGGACGAAGCTGGCCTGGTATGGGGGACGCGATGGAGTCTCAGCCGAAATCGGGTTCGGTCGTGTGTTTGCGCGCGTGGGAACCGTAGGGGTTAGCGCTGCTGGGCGCTTACCGACCGGCACCGGCGCTGGCAAAAAATCCTGTCGTAGTCCCTTACTATTTTTGAGAATCTTGCAATTTGGATTTTTTAGAATCTTGCAATTTGGATTTTTGAGAATCTTGCAATTTGGATTTTTGAGAATCTTGCAATTTGGATCTCTCGTGCATGTCTTGTATTTTATGTCTGCTCGATTACTTTCGCTATGTTTGGAAGTTCGATTCATGTTGTGCTTGTGTGTTGTTGTTTCGCTGTGATGTGTATGGTTCTTCGGTTTTTGTATATTGAGCACAACTACGCTTGCTTTCTTTGAACGTTTTATAGAACAAGTGGAACCCGCCACGGCAACGCTGTGGCGCACAGCAACACTCGCTGATGGCGTCTCATTTTTCTTTCATCTCTCTCTCTCTCTCTCTCTCTCTCTCTCTCTCTCTCTCTCTCTCTCTCTCTCTTTGTTTCTTCCCATGTCGTGCTTGCTGGGCATCGGTGCTTGTCGTCTGCTCTGTCTCTCTCTCTCTCTCTCTCTCTCTCTCTCTCTCTCTCTCTGTGTTTCTTCC